GCTTCCCGTTTCCCACCATAGGCCCTATAGGGCACCTGCCTGAATTTGCATGAGCTTATCTAATCCCTAGAGCAGAACCTCCAGGAGAGCCAATATTATTCCCATTGGATAGATGGAGAAACTGAGGTCTAGAGAGAGGAAGCATCCTTCCTTATCTGGCCCCATCTGACTTCCCAGGCTCATCTTGTGCCTCACCCTTTGTCACTCTCTGTGTCCCAGACCCTCTGGGAGCGCCGCCGCGCTCCCAAGCGGCGCACTCTCCAGTGCGCCACCGGGCCGGCCCCTCTTCCTCTCTTTTAAATTTAACTTTTTATTTTGAAATAATTACAGATTCACAAGAAGTTGCAATCAATAGTACAGAATGTTCCATGTACCCTTCACCCTGTTTCCTCCAGTGGTGACATCTTATGTAACTATAGTACAGTATCAAAGTCATCTCTGCTGTCCTTTGTTGCTCAAATGCCCATGTCCCTCCTCACCTACAGACCGTGACCCCTACCATTCCCTTGGCCAGGCACACTCTTCCCGCTCCCTCCCGTGTTTGCCCTTTTTGCCTGGATAATTCTTTATCATCCCTCAGCTCTTGGTACAAGGAGACTTCCTGAGGGAAGCCTTCCCTGACCATCGTGCCCCCAGGTGGGTCACACCCTCCTACTGTAACACCTTAGCAATGTGCTGACTCCCCAACTTGCTGCAGTTTGTGTTTCTTCTGGTGATTCATGTCCATCTCCCCTGCAACACTCGAGTGTCTTGCTCCACAGGAGCAGGTCTGTCTGTTTCTGCTCTCCATTGTATGTATATTCAGGGTCTGGTATACAGTGTTGGGCACATAGTAGGTGCTCATAAATATTTGCTGGCTGAGTGGATACAGGAAACAGGGCCTCACAGAAACAGAGCCAGGATTAGAACCCAGAGACCCTGCCTTCCGATCATAGCTCTGTCTGCTGCACCTGCCATCTCTGCCTGGTCAGTCTGGGTTGGTGGAGAGGGAAGGAGTTATGTCTCTGATTCTCCAGTGTCTCATCTAGGTTTGGGCAGGGGGTGAGGACAGTGAAAGAAATGCCTTCTGTTGCCATTTCCGCCTCAGCAAGCCCAGCCAGGGCATGCCAGGCCTAATGAGGACCACATGATGTGGGCCAGGATCAAATGGGACAGTGCAATTAGTATATCCTTAATCAGGACCATCCTTGGAAGGAAACTCACGCTACAGTGGATGCTGAGGCCTCCCAGGAAACTTGCAGAGATCTTAGATTTCACTGAGTGAAATCCCAGATCTCCACCTGGGTGATGCGGCCATGAGTTGGGAAGGGACTATCTATGGACCTTGGGCAAATCCCTGCCCTCTTTGGGTCTCTAGCAGACTCCCTGCACCTGCCCCCCAGAGAACCATCCATTGCTACCACTGTGACCTCCCTGCATTGCTGTCTCCAACAGGGTGATCGTGGCATGATGGGACCCCCAGGTGTGCCTGGACCCAAGGGGTCGATGGTAAGGAGTAAGTCTGCATCCTCTTGCCCTCTCCTGTCACAGCCTCAGGTGACAGCTTTGCTGTCCTCTGCCTGCCTCTGCATACCCAAGACATTCAAGATGACCAGCTCCTTCTCCCTCTGGGAGGCCTGGCTGCTGCCTGTGGCCCTGGGCTGGGGCTGAGCTGGCCAAGGTGGGACTGAAGGAGGAAGAGGCATCCTCCCCAGCTGACTCCTGCTTTGTCTTCTCTCTCTTGGTAGGGTCATCCTGGAATGCCAGGTGGTATTGGGACCCCCGGAGAGCCTGGACCCCCGGTGAGCAAAGCCCTCATGTTCCCTGAGCTCAAACCCACTATCAAATAAGGGTAAGGTGTCCAGGCCTCAGAATCAGACAGAACTGGGATCGAATCCTAGCTCTGCCACTTCTTGGCTATATTCCTGGGACAGATCATTTAACTTCTCTGAGCCTAAATTTTGCTCATCTGAAAAACAGATAATATAATCATGGTCATGACAGTGTGATCATGTGGGTTAAATGAAACTGCGGGGCTGATGTTCATTACATAGTGATGTTCGTTACTTGCAAGCATCTTGGTCATAGCAGCATGACTGCTTTGTGCATTCACTTATTCATTCAGTAAATTCTGTGTAATATGTGCCGGGCAGCTCCAGGAGCTAGGGGTGCTGCAGTGCACAAGTCAGAAAGCAGGCCCTGCCCTTTGGATCTTATATTCTGCTGTGGACGGCGGGACAGAGAAAATCCAATAAGTAAGTGATGCTGCTATGGAGGAAGCAGCAAGAAGATGGGAAATACTTGGGACAAATGAGGCTGAGGGTCAGAGCCAAAAGACCCAGGGGTCTTGGGCTTCTTGTGATGACTGAGGAAACAGAACTATCCCTGAGGATCTCATGGCCAAGAATGGCGGGAGAGGTTGGGAGGGCTGGATTCAAGGGCCCTTTCCACTCCTGCAGAGTGATGTGGAGAGGGGAGGGGCTGCTGTCATTTGGAGCAGGTGGAGCTTGCTTCAGGTCCCTCTGCTTCTGCTGATGGTGATGGAGACTGGGAAAGGGCACTCACTTCGGCCACGGCCGGGGCTCAGGGCTGGGAGTCCATTCCAGGGTGGGCTTCAGGCAGATGGAAAGAGTACAGGGGGTGGAGTACCAATCCAGGCCCAGACCCTGAGACAGAGCTAGGGAATGATGAGTTCAGGTTGCTCAGGTCCCTGTAAAACTCAGACTGGGGAGCTCCCTGGAATCTGATGAGGGAGAGCTCAGGAGCCTCTGGTGGTTTGAACTCAAGGGAACCCACACAGACCAGTTCTCTGTGCTGATTAGGGAAGCAAGACCAGCTCAGTTTCCAGACTTTTTCATGTACCTACTGTGTGCTGGCCATATGCTCAACCCTGGTGGTGCAAAAATGGTAAGAAATAGGTCCTACTCTTAAAATTCTTACTGTCTAGTGGGAATATCAAGTATAGAAATTGTGTCAGTCATTAACAGAACTTTATGGAGCACTACTATGTGCCAGGCAACACTAGGTGCTGAGAAGGGATAGGGAGGGACTAGTCCAAGGACGAGAAGCCTGGACACCAGTAACCATCATCCAGAGAAGAAGGTGCCGAGCACCAGATGACTGTGTCCATCCCCACAATTCTTTCTAATGAGGTGGAAAGTTCTCACGGTGCAGAGCAGGCATCAGAAGCCACCACTGGGCTCCCAATGACTTGTGAGGGTTTTTTGCCTTGTTCATGAGGAGGAAAAGCCACATCTGGCCTGGGGCTGGAAGGGCTGGTGACGTGGAAGCGGAAGTGTTGAGGGTAGAAGCAGGAGGTCAGAGGACCAACATCCTGGTGGGTGGGGCTAGCATGGCAGGCCGGGGCACCCAGCTCGAGATCCAAGGGTCCAGCCCCCCAGACCAAAGTGTTTGGAGATGGAGTGACTAGAGACCATCAGCGTGGGAGGTGTCCAGGGTAGGGCCAAAGCCCATCACCAAACTCTACCTCCTGTGGCCCTGGACCTCAGCCTCCCTGGGCCTCAGTCTCCCCATCTGTCCAGTGGGAGGAGGAAAGCCTGGAAAGGAGTCACTGGGACAAGGTGGAAGGTCAGTGGAAGATGAGAAAATGTGGGGACATCCAGGCCAGCACATGGAGAAAGGTGCGGGCCTCCTCTGAATCCCTTGACCCCCTGGCTCCTGTTACCTCCCCCCCCCAACCCCATTTCCTCAGTCCTTCCCTCTGTTCAATGGGTTGGCTCAGGCTTAGTGAAACCAGAGAGTCACTTGCTGCTTTCAGATCCCAAGATTGCCATTAACCCTCCCCTGCTACAGTATGGGGTCCTCCCTCGGATCCCTTGGGGATCCTTCTGGCCAGCCAGCTGCTGCCCTTATTGCTGCTGGAGAAGTTGTAGCACAAACGCCCGCAAAACTGACTTCAGAACCAGACACTCGGGAGTCAAATCCTGTGTCCTCCACTTACTAGCTGTGTGATTGTTGGCAACATTTATAGTTCCTCTGAGCCTCAGTTTCTTCATCTACAAGTCAGCATAACACAGCCTTCATTATGAGATTGTCATGAGAAAAAAATGGTATAGTGCATGCTGTAGCGCTTAGCAAACTACCTGCATGTACTGAGTGCTTAATGAATGGCAATAACTATTTGTCAGATAATTACCACTATTTTTAGTAAGACATTAAAGTGACATTTCTGCGGATACTGTTCACATCTGTTGCCATTTTCCCACTTTTTCAATCACTTTAACATCCATTTCTCCTGATGTAGTCCATTGAGGTCAGTTAAGATAATTATCCCATTATCGTGGGGGGGGCACTGGAAAGGCTGTGGCCCCTGCCCAGGGTCATCCAGTGACCAGAACTGGGTCTAGCGTCCGGTTCTGACCTCCTCTCCCTTTCCGAGGGCTGGTAGCTACCTTTTACTGAGGATTTTCCTTGTTATTTCGAGAGGTAGGGACTCCTCTTGTTCCCATTTTATAGATGATGAGACTGAGGCCCAAAGAGTCTAAGTAACCTGCCTAAGGCAGCACAGTTAGTAAGTGGCAGAGCCGGGATTTGAACCCGGGCTCCCTGGTGCTACAGCCTGTTCTGTGAAGGACTCTACTCACTGTCTCTACGTAGCGACTTGGCTCCCGAAATTTCCCAGAGGCAAATTGCATGCCTTCTGAGATTTGAGGTCACTCCATAAAACAGTCCATTCTCACCCAGTCTTTGTGTTCTCCACCAGCCGGGAGTCGGAGCTGCTTTTTTACTGGGCCAAGCCAGGGTCCACGCCCTGCTTGCTCGGCTAACGGGGCCAGGCTGGGACGCAGCCCCTCACATCAGCCCCTCAGCAGCAGCTGTCAGAGGGTCTGCCGGTGGCTGTGGCTGTGTTTGCACCCCTCAAGGCCATGAGGGGAGATAAAGGGGGGGCAGCAAAACTTTGTCCCAAGGCCCAAAACAGAGCTGGGCCTCTCTGGCGTTTGGAGAGGGGACGAGGCTGTCTCTTCCGTGTAGGAGGAGCACGCCCTGTCTGAGAGTCACTGCGGAGCAGAGCTGGGAGGCTCCTGTGGCTGTCACAGGGGTCCTGGCTGGAGGTTGGGCTGAAGTCGCTGCTTGATGTCCATCACGCTGGGCCTAGACATTACGCAGTGAGGCAGCCTGCTTCCGCTCCGACTTCTTTCTCTCCCTGCCCACCCTTCTGCCCTCTTCATCTGTTCATGTGTTCCTTGGTCATTGCACAGATTCCTGAGTACTTGTCTTATGCCCGTGCTGGGCCAGGTGCAGAGAATTCAAAGAACAAAACCTGCCCCGGTGTCTTTCCTCTCTCCCCATCTCTCTTTTATTCCTCTTTCTGTCATTCCTCCATCAGACCAAGGTAACTGAGCATCTTCTTTGACCAGGCCCTGTCCCTTCTCTGGGCCCCCCCTCGCCCCTCTCCTCCCCCCCTTCTGCTTTTTCTTGCTCCTCTCCCCTGTCTTGCTTCCCAGGCTCACCTCAGGGCTGGGTTCCAGGTTCTTCCTCCGCCTCCCCCGAGCTCTTTCTGCCACTGCTTCTCCCAGTGGCTGGGTGCCCGGTCCGTGAGTGTGGAGCTGCTGGGGCCGAGGCAGGGGCAGCTCCTGAGCCGCGCCTGTCTGAGGGCTGTGGCCTTCACGCTCTGCCCCCCACGCTCCCAGCCCCCAATGTACTGTCACTCCCTAAAAAGGAGGCTTCTCCAAGCCCTTTCTCTTCCCCACAGGGTCCTCCAGGATCTCGAGGCCCACCAGGCATGAGGGGAGCAAAGGGACGCCGGGTAAGTGGGCTGTAGCTCCCGGGGGCTGACACTGGTGGGGAGGGGAACACTTGCGGCAGGGCTACCAGTCACTGACCTCTCCCCAGCTCTGAGATCTGGGACTTTTGTGGCACTTGGCAGGGATCCAGGCTCACCCCGGGCCTGGCTCTGAGTGTGGGAGCCCCACCTATCTTTCCAGCCCATTTCTGAGCACCAGGCCTTGCCATTCAGTGGCAAGGGTACCAGTGCTTTGTTCATTCATTCGTTCAAGTCCCATTTATTTAGCACCTACTGTGTGCCACACACACAGTAGTTGGAGTTTCTGCAGATACGGTGAACAGAACAGGCATGACCCCTGCCCGCCCTTGTGACTCAATCAGTAGTTCAAACAGACAACTTGGCAGACCTGGACAATGGAGTGCAGGGTCGTCAGCACAGGGGTGGGAGAGGCACAGGCAGCGTGGGAGCCATAGGAGGCACCACAGCTGGCAGGGCTCCAAGGGAGGCTTTTAGGAGAGGGAGATGGCTGGTTCCAGGCAGAGGGACCAGCAGGGGGATAGCCCTAAGGTGAGAGGAGTGTGGTATGTTTAGGGACCCTGGGGTCAGCAGAAGGATGGGGAGAGGGATGGGGCTGAGACTTAGCAGACACCATGCCTTAAAAGCAGGGCCTTAAAAGCCACAGCTAGGCCTATGGGCTATGCTGCAAAGGTAGTGGGGAGCCACAGAGGGTTTTAAACAAGGGCTGGCCTGAATGGAGTAGGCAGGAGTAATCACCAGCCCTTACGCTGTGCCAGGTACCGTCTGTCATGTGCATTAACTTGTTTAGTTCTCAACATTACCCTGCCAGGTAGGTGCTATTCTTATTCCCACTTACAGTTGAGGAAACAGAGGCACAGAGAGGTTAAGTCACTCACCTCAGGTTGCACAGTCAGCAAGTGGCAGAGCTGGGATTTGAACCCAGAGAATCTGGCTCTTTTGCCTACTGGACTCAGCCTTATTTTCAAGCATGCAGGAAGGTTGATGGAATGGTCTCCTGCTGCCAACTAGTGTACAGGTGCTGGGCCTTGCGGCCTTGTTGTCAAGAGGGAATGCAATGGTACAGGTAGAGCAGGCAGTCCAGGCAGCCCAGGCCTGATAGCTGAGCTCCACACAGGGGATCTCTGATTATTATTCTCTTCTTGGCTGGATTTCAAGTGGTTTTAAAATTTCCCCTGAACCAGATGGCCTGAGCAGCCGGCCTGGGAGAGGGGAGATTAAGAGGCATTCCTCTGGCGCAGCAGGGCCCCTCCCAGTGCCCAAGTTCTCTGGGCCTCCTCAAGTGGGCCGAGGCCCAAAGGCAGCCGGGTTCTATTCCGATCCTGTGCACGTTCCCTCCTGCCCCAGGAAGCCGGATTAGCTGGAGGGTGAGCTGTGTCGGCCCAGGCCCCAGCCCTGCCCCAGATGCAAGGCTCAGGCCCTCCTCGACTCACTGGGCTGCCCCCGACCATCTCCGCCACCCCTTCTCAGCAGTGGCTTGAAGAATGTATCTCCTGCTTGAGGAAACTCAGGCTCCCAACCACATCAAAGTCTCCACAGCTGGGAGAGGAGCATCGGGAAAACGAGCCCCTCTCTCCACTGGGTTTGGCAGGAATGCAAAACCCAGGAGATGCGTCCCCTGGGTCCCTGCCTAGCAGGCCACCCTTGGCCATTTCCCAGATGGGGTAACTGAGAGTCCCTGTGAAACAGCTCAATTCCAGGCAAGTCCTTTTCAGCTCCTGGCTTGCCCTGTGCCCTTAGCAAGGCCCTGCTGCTCTTTGGGCCTCAGTTTCCCCACATGTGCCATGGGGAATGGGCTTGGAGGTCTGCAAGGCCCTGTCTGCATTCCTGCCCATGTGTAGGATGGGCCCTGCTGCCTACCCCATCCCCCATCCAAGAAGGATGAGCACTGAGGGTTTGAGGTCCAGGGCAGGGTGGGGTTCCGGAACCTCTGCTGACAGGGTGGGGCTGCTGACTGGGACCTTGGTCCACCGGCCCCAGTCAAAAGAATGGGGCTCTCAGCTCAGACAGGTATAGAGGTCTCAGTCTCCCCACTTACCAGCTGTGAGACCTCAGGCCAGTTTCTGAACCTCTCTGAGCGTTTTTTTCTGATCTGCTCAGGCGGGCAGCTTTAATTCCTCCTTCCAAGGGGACTGTGGGGATTCTGAGATTCAGGCACCTAAGGCTGAACTCTGCTGTGTGTGTGGGGGTCAGAGCTCAGCAGACCTGGCCTCCGATCCTGGCTCCTGCTCTTGGACCATGAGCAACTGACTTCCCCTCTCTGAGCCTCCTCTGGTTGTTCCACTGTAAAATGGGTCAGCAACAGGGCCCACCTGGTGTGATGGCACTAGGACTCGATCATTTAACGAGCGCCTTGAACATGGTAAGCGCCTGATAGGGCAGCAGTGAGTCGTAGTATGTGCTGAACATGTGTTTCCTCCCTCTCGTTCATCCATCCCTTTTTCCCAAGAGCTCTGATTGGCCACATTTTATGTCCTGGGCAGGGAGGGGCTCCTGCCTGACCCCAGGCCTGGCTGGAGGGCAGCCCCAGCCGTGACTGCAAACATCTTCCTCCAACATCTTCCTCGGGGACTGGATGCAAAAGAGCAGACATGCGGCTCTGATAGAAACCTGCCCTTGTTCAATTGGAGAAGGAAGGGGCAGGGCTAGAGGACCCACAGGACGAGGCCCAGAGTGGCCCAGAGCAAGGGTCAGCATGTGTAGCAGCCCTCGCTCCTCCCCCTGTGCAGTGGAGCTGGGGAGACGGTGGCTGGTGGTCCCACTGCCTCCCCCTTCCTACAGGTAGGAAAGGCTGGTCCTATTTCCCCCAAGCCAGCTTCTTTCTGGGCTCTCTAGTGCTGTCCTGGCCTAGCAGGTTCTTCCAGATAAGAAGGATTTTAGACATTGTTTTCTCCAACACCTGCCTGAGTGTGCACCCTTCCTGGTAGGCTCCTCTAGGCTCTGACGTGCTCACCCCCTGTGATGGGGAGCTCACTCTCATTCTGATAAATAGTGGAGGTAGTGGTGGAAAAATAGTCATCTGGCTGACTTCGGTTCAAATTCTGACCCCTCTGTTTACTAGCTGTGTGACCACAGGCAAGTTCGCCTCTGTTCTGAGCCCGTTCCCTTATTTGTAAAGTGAGGATGATAGCTTTCACTATTATTGCTGCTGCTGCTGTTGTCACCATGATTGTTAGACCACATAATCTTTCTCCCAGAAAGGTTTTGATCCTAGCGTAAACTGGGTGCTGTGTCGTTCAGGCCAAGCCCTCGACATCTCTGAACCTCCGCTCCACTCCTGGAGCTATCCCTTTCTGGGAAGTTTCTGTCTCAGCTGGAGACAGGGCCCAGGGGCCAGAAGCCATATCTCAGGAGCACCCAGGTGCCTACCCATCAGCTCAGCCTCTGTCCTGACCTCCTGTGACCTGGCTGCCTCCACCTTCTGTGTCCATGAATCGGGACGTGAAGTCTAATGCATGGCTTCACAGTGTCCATGTGTCCTGAGATTGAGGTGCTGTTGTGGGCTGTAGTGTGGAATTAAAGCATCGGGAGCTCCAGGCAACTGGCATTTCCACTTTTTCTGGCTTAATTGTTCATTGAAAATTTCCTTGTTTGATTTTTAAATGATTTTTTCCTCATTTTATTTTCTCCTTCCTCATCCTGCCCCCGCCTAGACACTTCCCCAGCTCCCTTCATCTGAGGCAGTATTGCAGGCTAGTCCCCTGGGCTCCCAGGCTGGGGTGGGCCAGCCTCCTTCACAGGACACTTTCTCCCCTCAACTTGGGCCTCTTCCAACCCCCTACAGAACAAACATCACTCTGTTCTCCATGGGCCTTTTCCAGGAGACCCCATCCCATCTGTGTCTCTGTGGGAGTCCCCAAGGAGGGAACACATTGGGTGGGACCCTGGAGTGGATACCAACTGCTAATGTGTTAAGGGATCTCGGACAAGTCACTTCCCTTGGCTGGGCCTCCCCCTTCCTATCTGTGCAGTCGGGGGAGAGGTGCACTGCACATGCCCCCAGGCCCTCCCAATAGTCCAGGATGAAGACTCCTGTCTCAGGGGTCAGACTTAAGCTCAGGGCTCCAGGGAGCAGCAGCCTGACTCCTGCTCGTGGGTGCACACCCCGCCCTGTTCCAGTCTCTCCTCATGTTGGCTCTTCCTCTGTGATCCGGCCCAGGTTAGCTGGCACATCCGGCTGGAGAGAGGCTGCTCCATGCAGCTGGCCATGTGCAGACCCTCCCCAGGTCCTTCTCTGGCAGCTTCCCCCAAGGGCTGTAGTTCAAACACCTGTTTCCGCCCCACGTGTGCTCTGGGAAGAGCGTGTGGCCACAGAGTCTGAAGGCCCGGGGTGGGGACTTGACCATGTGTCTCTGCTCTGGCCCTCAGTCTCATTGTTTGGGAAATGGGTTGGCTGGGTGACCCCCAAGGTCTCTTTAAACAGGGTTGTTCCCGCACCTCCCTTTTTCGGGAAGGGTGGTGCCTCTAGTTGTGTTCACTGTGTGTGCCTTCTCTGCAGAGCTAGCTCAGCAGGCACGTTGCACAAGGGTGACCTACCTCATGCGGGAAGGAGAAGAGGAGGGAGTCCCAGGATGGAGCAGGGAGAAGCCCCAGGCTCTGGGCAGCCCCGCCCTTCTGGTTCTCAGCCCAAGGGAGACCCCTGCTGTCCACTGTGCTAGTCCCTTTTTCTATTCCAGGGCCCCCGAGGACCAGACGGACCAGCTGGGGAGCAGGGGTCCAGGGGCCCGAAGGTACTGACCCCCATACCCTTGCTCAAACCTTCTCCCATGGGTCGGGAACCCAAGCACCAAAGCTTACCCCTCCCTTAGCACCAGGCCCCTTTGGGATGGCAGGAAGTCCCGAGACACTGCAGGGCACATTTCCAAGAGCTCATCCCATCCACTTTCCCTGGTCCCCCTGCAAGATCAGAGCAAGAGAAAGCAAGAGAGAGAAGAAATCACACACGCTCTCTGGCCCCTTCCTGGGACTCCCAGCCCCACCAGATCCCCTGTGGGCTGAGACTGCCTTTGGCAGCCCCACTGGTAGGAAAGGATCCTTGGTTCTTGACCCAGAGCTCCTGGTGACTATAGCGAGCCATTCCCCTTGCTGGGCCTCAGTTTCCCCACCTGCACAACGAGGAGGGGGATGAATGCTGTGATCTCACAAGTCCTTTCCATCTCCATGGGGTGGGGACAGGTCCCTTCTTGGTAAAGGGTCCTCCCCAGCACCCTCTCCCACTGTCGTGCTCTGCTTCCTGTAGGGCCCTCCAGGACCGCAGGGCAGACCGGGCCGGCCTGGACAGCAGGTATGTCAGGCCAAGGCCAAGCAGGCCGGCCGCCAGGCCCCCTCCCGCTCCCTGCCTTGTGACATGTGCCTCTAATGACCCCCACGTGTGCTTCCAGGGCGCAGCTGGTGAGCGAGGCCACGTGGGCCTGCGAGGCTTTCCCGTAAGTAGTACCAGCTCTGGAAATTCTCTATGTGTAGCTTTGGGGTCAGGGAAGATATTAGCCATTTTAACCAAGGTCCCATCCTTCTGTGGAAACCCCCAAGGTTCTAGAAGCCCACCCCCTTCACTGAAGACCCTCCAGCATGTCCCCTGACCCTGTGCCTCAGCCTGCTCATCTGTTATATGGCAGAGGGTAGTGGAGGACCCTAATACTCGGTGATGGATTGCCTGAGGGAACAGGGATAGGCAGGGTGGGACAGGCCATGGACTTAGGTCACCTTTGTCTTGTCTCTGCAGGGCATCCCAGGTCCCTCAGGTCCCCCAGGCACCAAGGGCCTCTCAGGAGAACCGGTAAGCACCCTGTCCCTCCTCTTTTGTGTCTCTGCACCTGGCAGGCTGGTCTCAGTTGGGTCAGCTGCTTGGAGGTGTGGGCTAGGGGGCTGGACAAGGAGGAGGTTGGAGAGGGACAGTGCCAGGCTCTGCCACTCTGATGGACCAGGCCTTGGGGTGGTGGTGGCAGCGCTGGCCCAGGAGCTCTGGGTTTGAGTCTCAGCTTACCTTCCAGCCTGTTTTCTTGCCAGTAAAATGGGGGCAGTTGTCTCCATCTTGCCCTTCTGTGGAGAAGATGAAATGAGGAACTGTCCAGAAGGTGCTTAGCACAGTGAAAGGTGTAAGGAAGCAAGGAGGGAGGGAAGGAGGGAGGGAAGATTAGAAGAAACTCACAAGCTGGCTGGGGGCTGCAGAGTCCACGTGGCTGGAGTGGAGAGAGGATGACCTCAGAGAGGGTAGCAGGAGGAGCCATGGCGAGTGTGCTCTTTATCCCAAGGGCAATAGGGAGCCATTGAAGGTTGTGAAACAGGAGGTGACCTGATCATCTTGCCATTCAGACAGTGCAGGTAGCAGGAGGAGCCATGGCGAGTGTGCTCTTTATCCCAAGGGCAACAGGGAGCCATTGAAGGTTGTGAAACAGGAGGTGACCTGATCATCTTGCCATTCAGACAGTGCCCATGGAAGGATGGGTTTGGGGCACAGCCTGGGTGTCAGGGGGCCCCATGAGGAGGCTGCAGAGAGTGGTGCTTCTGGAGATGGCAAGGAGAGGACAGAGTCCTAGGGGTTGAGGGGGAAGGATCCTTGGGTGGGAGAGGGGGAGAACAGGGGGTCCCCCTGTACCCCAGGACCAGTGCTGCATTACCACCTCTTGAGGCCCAAGGAGTCGCCCTTTTGAACAATGGGCTGGCCGGGGCAGGGGTGGCTGTGGCTGGGGGTTTCCAGAGGTGGATCCAAGGTGGAAGCGCATTCTAGGCAGAGGGGACAGTGAGCAGGCTGCAAGAGCTGGAAGGTTTCTAAGCAGGGGAGGGCCCCGCTGGACTTTGGGCAGATGAGTAGGAGAGTGTGCAGATGGATTGGCAGGGACACAATGGAGGCCACTGGTGGGATGGAGCTGCAGATACCAGGCCCCTTGGTGAGGCCGGGTGGGCTGGGGGTGGGCTGCAGAGTCCCAGCTTGTGTGGGTTCTCTCCCTTACCTACTTCTCCAGGCTGTATTGTCAAGCCTCAGAGCCCAAAGTGGGCCCGGCCTGGTTTCTCCCAATTGTCTGTTTGTCTGTCTGTCTTCCAGGGCCCTCAGGGACCCCAGGGGCCAATTGGCCCCCCAGGAGAGATGGGACCCAAGGTGAGTGCTAAGGGACCCTCTTGGTCCCACAATGCTGCTGGGGGTGTATCAACCCCTGCCAGCCCTGCTCCGGGGGCCCCTGTCTGTTGTTCCCTGTCCTGGCCCAGGGAGATGCTCATGTCCTGTGTACTGCAGAGTTGAAGGGTAAACTCCCTGGCAGAGAGGCAGATCCATGCCAGTGACATAGGGTGAGGAGCTGGGCTCCCAGTCTCAGGAGCATTGGGTGGGACGCAGTGGTGGCAGGATCCTCCCATACAGGATGTTGGCGGTGCCTCTTTTGACACCACTGGAAAAAGCAATGCTCTACAGTCCTGACCTTGCTGGGACCTCACCCCAGCACAGGGGTTTGACCATCAATGCAGCCCTCTGAGGGTCATACAGAGGGGAGCTTGGAAGGGGCCTCACACCTCCCTGCCTCAGCCAGGGGAGAAAACTGAGCCTCGGGGTTTATGCAAGCGCTGCAAGCACACGTGATGCTCTCAGGACCCCTTCCCGCCCTCATCATGCTGGCTTGGCTGAGGAGAATCACTTGGCCTTGAGCACAGCATCCATTGGCTTCCTCCCCTGTTGTTATGTGAATCATGAAATTTTCCTCCCTGTGCTTGCCAAGGGGCTCCTAATGTGGTAAACCACATTCGTGGGGAGGGAGAGGCTCTAGCAGCCTCGGGGTAGTCCCGAGGCTGAGCCAGCCTGGGCCCAAACATCTTCCTCTTCCTAGTTCCAGCTCCAAGCTCCAAGAAGGTGCAGCCTGCTCCCAGTCTGTGTCTCTCATGCTGTGTGACCTCGGGCACATCTCTTGCCCTCTCTGGGCCTCAGTTATTCCCTCACAACCAGAGGCCAGGCCTTGCTCTAGGAGAGACCAATGGCATTTTCTTACAGGGGCCACCAGGTGCAGTGGGAGAACCGGGCCTTCCTGGAGATGCTGGGATGAAGGTGAGGCAGGATGAAAGAAGAGGAAAATGACCTGTTGAAATGAGCTCTCAGCTGGTGGCATGTCCTCCTCACAGAAGAGAAACAGGCCCTTCTTGTGCCTGGGATAATGGGTTCTCTGTGCTCCTGGCTGGGAGCAGGGCCTGGCCATGGCCACAGTAGAGTGCCCAGCCGGCCCGGAGCCCCCACGCCTGCCCCCTGCCCCCTGCCCATCACTGTTTTCTCTGGCACCTGCCGCTGCATCCATGCTGGGACAGCGGTACCTCCCAGCCTCGTGTGATACCATCTGCATTTCAGCGCTAGTGCCCCTCATTACCTGCCACGAAACAGGCACCCATTGATGTCTGGGCTCTGGGGAGAGCACCCTCCCACTCTGCTGTTGGAAGAGAACCCTGCTGCCATGCAGGTCCTGGGGCCCACGAGCCATGCTGGCCTGGCCCGCCCGAGGACACTGTTGAGGCAGGGCTTTGAGCAGCTGACAGGGGCTGTGGGACTTGGGGCAGACCACACCCCTCTGAGTTCCCCTGCCATTCAAAGAGGGAGTTGGATGAGGCCTGGGACTATCAGAGTTGGTTTAGTTCCAGAATCCTTTGCTTAAACAACAATGAAGAAAACCACGCCATGTATAAGAAGTGGGATTGTTCCAGTTGGGACGGGACGGGGGGCTCAGAGCTCTGCCTCCTCCTTGTGTCCCCAGATGCCAGCAGGGAACATAGCTTGGAAATCCCCGGATGAGAAAGACCTTTTGGGGGGTGGGTGACCCTCTGGCTCATTTAGGGCTTCTTCCTCGTTTGGGTTTCTTTGCAAGTGAGAGTAAAGGAGGTGTTGAGTCACAGAGTTGCTGTCCCTGCCTCTGGTGCTCCTGGAGCAAAACTCCCCAAGTGTGGATCTGGAATCTGTCACTTATTTGCCTCTTTAGAGCTTGGGCTAGTTACCGATCCCCTTGGTGCCTCAGTTTCTTCATCTCTAAAGGAAGAAGCACTTTCCTTGCTGGGTGGTTGCGCAAGTGAAATGCAGTTGTATAAAGAAGTACTTAGAGCAGTGCTGTGCAGTGTTACCATGGTGGTGGTGGTGGTCCAGGCAGTCCCTCTGCCCTGGCATGGGAGAACCCATGGCCAAGGCTCTGGTTGGTGTTTTACAATTTCCCTTAGGTCCTTGGGACCTTCCCCAGCTACCCGCACCCCCCCCCATCAAGTCAGAGCTAGTGGGCACAGGAAGGGTGGTGAGGGCAGGGGCTGGCCCTTCCCCCATGGAATGGTTGTGTTTGGTTTCTTCTAGGGTGACCTTGGGCCCCTGGGCACCCCTGGGGAGCAGGGCCTCATTGGGCAGCGGGTAAGTTAAAGCAAATTCGTTGTCCCTGGGTGTTTGGGTGCTGGGGGGAGTTTCCTCAACTGCAGAAACAGACCATGAACCTCTACAGCCTTGTGCAGTGTCTTTTGATAAGCCAGCATTTCCACAATGTGGAGAAAAGCGTTCTGTGGTCAAAATGTTTGGGACCCACGGCATGCTCGGTGTTTCCTCTTACACAGTTTAACAGTAGCATTTTCAAGGCTCTGAGAAGGCCTGAGGTCAAGAAATTGGTTTATTTTGGGTTAATCAGGCCCTCCAGACTTATTTGAGCACCAAGCACTTTACTGAAAAACATGCTGTCCTCAAAATCTGCTCCCTGGAAGGTTGTCTTCCCCTTTTCCACAAGAAACCTGCAAAGTTTATCTTGCTCTAAGCAGCCCTGTGTCCACCTCTTTATACTCTGTGCCTGGTTTCTTAGACCCCTGCCTGAATGTGAACCTTTAGTGCACTGTGAGGATACAGAACAGGCCCCCTCTAGCACCTTCCCAGCAGAGAAAGTGGAGCCCAAGAGTGACAAGGAGTTAGTGTGGGTCTCAGTTCATGGGGGCACCAGGCCACCAATCCCAGTTTATCTTGCTCTAAGCAGCCCTGTGTCCACCTCTTTATACTCTGTGCCTGGTTTCTTAGGCCCCTGCCTGAATGTGAACCTTTAGTGCACTGTGAGGATACAGAACAGGCCCCCTCTAGCACCTTCCCAGCAGAGAAAGTGGAGCTCAAGAGTGACAAGGAGTTAGTGTGGGTCTCAGTTCATGGGGGCACCAGGCCACCAATCCCAGTCCCCTCATTTCTCGTCTTTCCTTTTTTCCAATGCCTAATGCTACTCATGGCCCAAAGTTTTCAGATAGCTCACAAATGAAGTAAGACAGAATGAAAAGGGATTGCCACAGGGCGAGAGAGGATGAGTGTGGAGCTGGGAGCACTGAGATGGCAAATCTTTTGTGCCCACTAAGATTGATCAGCAGAGTCTTAGAGGGCTGTGTTAAGAAGGATCCTGAGGCTCCATCGAGGCTCAGTAGAAAAGTCAATGACAGGAACTCATGGGTTGCCCCCTGTGTGTCAGGCACTTTTCCCAGGGCACGGGGAATGCAGCCATGAGTAAGGGGAGGCCTGCTACATGGAGCTTCTGCTTCAGTGGACTGATTAGTGACGTCTGCCACGGGTACAAGTGGAGCAGAGTCTACACACCTGTCACATCTTTGCTATCCCAGCATCTGATGATCCCTGAACTGCTGTGAATCCTAGATGCAGAGAGAGACTCAAACTTAATTTGCAGCCATTTAGAGAACTGAAGAGTCCAGGGGCATCTCTGGAGCTGGCACGACAAGCAGGGAAGCTGGCTGAGGGTCAGACAGGGACTCACGGTTCTTACTGTCATCCCCAACCTGCTGGCAAGTAAGACGGAGGGCTGGCTTCACTTTGCTCATCTGAGAAATGGGATTCCACCAAGGAGTTCCATGGGGGCCCACTCCAATTCCAGTAACAGTATCTCAAGTGGCTGCCATTTGTGGGGTGCTCACTGTGCCTCACAGCAACCCTTGAAGAAGTGGTACCAGCCGCATTTTTCAGATGAGAAAATAGATGCCCATGAGGATGAAGTAGTTTGCTTGTGGCCAAACAGCCAGGGTTTAACCTGGGAAGCTGGTAGTGGCATTGAGGTCTGTCTGATGTCAAAGCCTGTTCTTAACCATTAGGCAGCACTGCCTCCCCAGCCCAACCAGTTAACCTGGACACAGTGTCCAGGACATCTCTGTGATAAGCACTTTCTGACTCGTGACCTCATGTAGCCCCCACCCCACCCCTCTGCAGATAGAACAGTCTGTGGCCGGGGGTCTTCTCCCCCTTTCTGAAGAGCTAAGGGTAGGGCTGTAACCCTCACCCTAACCCTAACACTGCTGCTCATTCATTAGTTCAGCCACTAGTGCAGCCACTGGCTGCTGTGTACCCTCTGTGTGCCAGGGCCTCCAGGGTCTACTGTCTGGAGATCTGGGGGTTGGAGTCCAGCTCCTTGGAGGGGGGAGGAAGGAAAAGCACACTGGGGTGCCCTCTCCAGTAATGTCTCCTTGTCTTTCCTCACCACCTTTCCAGGGAGAGCCAGGCCTTGAGGGTGACAGTGGCCCTGCGGGGCCTGATGGGCTGAAGGTAAGAGCTCTCTGGGGCAAAGTCTGTGGAGGAGGATGTTTTGCAGGGCCCTGCCCCTCACCTCTGCCCCACTGCCCCCATCCGAGACCTCGGTTTCCTCCCAGAAACACCGTGTTCCCATAAGTCTCAGCGATCAGACCCCTGGCTCCCATAGAGAGGAGGGTCAGCAATGTCTAGCAGCCACCTCCCACCCTGCCCACTGGGCTGCCTGCTCAGGAGGGACTGGGGGCCATGACCACCTTCCAGTGCTCCCTGCTGCTCTTCTTAAAACATCAGCTCCTCTTGGCTAAGTGTGGTTCCTGAGCACCCACTCTATGCCAGGTCTGGAGCCAGGGGCTTTGATATCTATCATCTTCCAAACATACTGAAACATCAGGAAAATAATAGTCACCACCAATGACTGATAAGCCACTATTTAGGGAGGACTAGTCACACATGTACCAGGTACTACACTAAGCCTTTTATAGGGATCACCTCCATCAATGCTACAAGGTAAGTTCTGTCTTTAGAGGAGGAAACTGAGATTTAGACATGTAAAGCAACTTGCCTGAGGAAACATGGCTAGTAATCAGCACATCTAGGACTCAAATCTGGGCCTGTCTGGCTCTAAAGTCCTGGCTTGCTCTGCAGCACCATACACAGAAGGTGAAAAGACCGAGGCCCATAGGGAGGCAGAAATGTTTCCATCCAGAGTCTACGGCTGTGAGTGGAGGAGCCGAAATTCAAACTCATGGCTCACAGCTCCCAAAGCCTGTTGGCCTGACTTGGCCCTGCTGCTCTCTATTCTCCGGTCAGCCACAAATGCTGGAACCATAAAGAGGCACTGGGGCTCACCTGAACTGTGGACAAACATCACTCTCTGACTTACCTGTCCTACCTCCAGCCCAGGCCTGTCCCTGGCCCCATAAGTGGGCTTTTCCCAGGGCTGACCGGTCACACTGTGCAAGTAGGTTCCCCAGCCCAGAGGGCCCCGAATGCCACATTGTGGGGTCCCCTCTGTCACCCACCTACTCTCCGTGTGACCTCAGATAAGCAGCCCTCTTCTCAGGGCCTTGATTTCCCCATCCCCAGACCTCCACCCCCACCACCGCTTCTCCACAGTTACCCTGCTTCCTGGTCTCCAGGGTGACTTGACAGGTGCCTGCTGGCTGAGCATGTTTTTCTTGCAAGGACAAGGGTGCCCCCTGTCTGTCATCCATCTGGCTTCTCTTGCCCCCAACCCTGCTGCACCCCAGGGTACAGTAAATGTCCCAGCCAGGAGACCAGGAGCATTGGCAGCTCCTCTAGGCCGTTTGCCAGGTGCCCGCTACACTGTGTGGCGATGCTGATGAACGTTATGGCTGAGGCTCTGTACGTTTACGGGGTGCCGAGCACCACCTGCCTTAAAAGCTTTATGTGAATGAAAACATTTAATCCTCCCAGCAACTCTCTCAGCTACATTACCATCCCCATTTCACAGATGAGGAAACTAAGGCATGATGAAAAGGCCTCCTCACCCCACTTCTGGGTGGCCACCTTTCTGCTACTTGGAATCTTTGCTGAGGTGGGATGGGAGGGGCTCCTCCTGGCTTGGGGGCCCCACACAGTCTTTCTTCCTCCACTTTTCACAGCTTCTTCATCCTGGCTTCACCCTCTTTTACTCCCTCCAAAGCTAATTCTACCCTGGTCCTTGGACCCCAGTAGTCACTCAGATGCCCGGCATCTTTCCTGGTCCTTGCGTGAATCCCATCTCTGTTTTCTTTATGGTGTTTGTCCAGAAATCACCTTCATGCTGGAAACTCCCTCTTCCTTGGGTGTGCAGAGCACTTTATACAGTGTTTTTATGCCCTTTATCTCTCCGCTGGTGGTGTCGATGAATAATAGTTCACCTTTAGCCAGTGCTCATGTGCCAGACTCTGTGCTAAGCTATTTAGATGGTTTATCTCTTTTAATCCTCACAGCAATCCTTTGATCCTTACTTTACAAATGAGGAAACTTTCCCAGGGTCACAGCTACTGAGTGGTGGCAGCAAGATTTGAATTTAGGCAGGAAAGCCCCAGGGATGGGGGAGATATTATCCCCTGAGCAGAGAACCTTGGAATTAGAAGGAGCCAGAACCCTGGGTTCTCACCCATGCTCTACTACTGACTTATTGTGTGGTGTTAAGGAATCTCCACCCCTTTCTAGGCCTCAGTTTACCTATCTGTAAATTGAGAGGGTTGAGCTAGGCAACTTGTAAGGCTTTTCTGAGCACTGGCAGATGTCCGATGATTCTGGGATTCTCCAGGAACTTCCAAAACCCATTCTGCCTGGAATTCACAAGGACACCTCCCCAGCTATGTGGAACCCAGGCTGTGTGGGTCTGGGTGGTCCCTGGTTCCTGGTTACATGCAGGGCCCAGGTTAGGCCCCTTTGCTGAAAACAAGCCCAGCCTCCTGGAACAGGCTGCCTGCCTCTGAGAGGTAGGAGAGCAGATGGCCAGGGATGACAAACCAGAAGCGGAATCTTGGAGCCAGGAAAATCTGCAAAAGAGTCATCTGGGCCAACCCCCTGTCCCCATGCCAGGCTGTGCTTGGAATGTGAGAATCTCAGTGGGAGTGGACCTCGGAAACTAACCTGGCGTCCAGATCTGCTCTGCACTGGCTCCTGCATCGGCTTGGAGTCTCCCTCCCCATCGTGTCATCTCTAGGTCTCTGTTGGAAAATCCCTCCTACTTGCCCCTGCCCCCCCACCTGGCGACTGAGCCAGAAACTGCCCCAGCAACGCCCCCATACCAGCCTCCCGTACCCGCAGCCCAGGCCCCAGCAGGACCAGCCTGCAGGGATGAGTTTTCTGCAATCGCCTTCCTGAGCCTCTCTTCTCGGCCAAGCCAAGCCCCAGGCTCCAGCGTCATGCCCTCAGAACCCTGCTCTCTCTCCTCTGGATGCACATCCCTTTATCAGTGTCCCTTGTAGAGCATGGCGCAGCGACACAAAACTGCCACAGGCGCACTCTGCTTTCCCAAGCCTGCTCCCCTCGCCTATCTCTTCCTTGTTCCTGTGACTTCATTCCCTTTCCCATGGGCTTCTCTGAACAGTCACAGCTGAGCCACGTGCAGACTGGCCACCGGCCCACTAGGCCTGCCAACCCCGAAGGGGATGGCCTTCGGATGGACGCTGCCTGTCCCCTGCAGCCACGCCCATGCTGCACCCCTCATGCCCACTCTGCTCACCATGCCACTCTCTCCAGGAACATGTGAAGGTGGCAGTGATAAGATAAGGAGAGCTCAGAGATGTACTGGGGGTTTGTCTGAAAACCCTCTGCAAAGCTGGTGCTTGCAGAGAACTATAAGCCTGTGCCTTCGGCTCACAAAGCCTTGTGAGCAGTTGCCTTTCCAAGGAGATCATGTCAGGTTCCCCAAGCCACTGAAGTCCTGAAAGACCCTGGTTATGCACCCCCCTACTAACGAGGGGTATCCTCGGGCTCCTGCTTGTCAGGAGCTGGCCAGGCGTCTAAGTGCCTGCTTCAAATCCCAACTCCACCGCTAGCAAGTTGTGGGACTTTGGGCTGGATAACTCAGCCCTGCCTCAGTTTCCTCATCTGCAAAATGGGACAAAAGGAGTATTTACCTCCGAAGGGTGTGTGAAGATTGTCAGTTCGTACATGTAAAGGGCCAGAATTCAGTCCAGTGTGATGACTGCTGTGTAAGTGTTCGCTGCCATGCACTTGACGGACAAAGTATTCTACAGCCAGAGAGAGTGACAGCCATGCACCCTGGGCAGCCACGGGACAGTGTGCTCATAGTGGAGCGACACAATGCAACTAAACGTGGGAACGCGCTCTCCTGTTGGGTTGGGCCGTTACAGCTTAGTTTACTGCTAACTAGCTTCGTGGCCTTGGAGCGGTTGCTTCGCTGCTCTGAGCCTGGTACCTAGTGATCAAAACTACCTATTATTTATTGTTTTTATTGTACACTCTTGTTGTGTATTGTACGCTGACAGTGCAACTCAGAAAAATGGAAAGAGTTGGTTCTGAGAGCAGAATTGGGTGAATTTTTTTCCTTCATAAATTTTTTTTTTCAGCTCATAACTCTTGTCCTCCCAACATGTCTAAGTTGGGGAGAGGTTGCCCTGGTCTGTCAAACCTGACCCCTTCCTGTGAACTCCGTGGGGTGTGTGTGGTCAGGGTCCTGGCTTCTCTCTGAGCTTCTCACCCACCCAACCCTAGGCCCAGGCAAGGACACATGGAAACCACCGTGTCTGGGATGTTTCCTGTGCCCACCAGGTCATGCCAGCCCAATCCTTCAGGAAGCTCAGGGGACTGTCGGGGGATTCCAGAGCTGGTTGGCTGTGGACTTCCACATGGAACCCTGAGGTTTGGGGCCTCCAATGGGCTTGGTGATTAATTTTTTCTATCTCCCCTCCTCATGCCTTCCCAACCCAGGGGGACAGGGGTGACCCAGGGCCTGATGGAGAACATGGCGAGAAAGGCCAGGAAGGACTGAAGGGTGAGGATGGTCCCCCTGGTCCCCCAGGCATCACTGGCATCCGGGTGAGTATGTGGCTGGGTGTGGTACTTGGGGCGCCTGGTACAATGAACACTCAGGCCTGTCCAGGTTACTGGATGGGAGGTCTTTTGGCAGCAGCCCACTATGTGGTCTTCTGCCAAGGTCTTTCCTCCACCTGGGAGTTTGCCAGAGAACCAATCTGACCACATGCCTGCCTTGCTTAACCCTCTCATGGCTCCCAAGTGTCCTCAGAACAACATTAGTTCCCCTTAGCCTGGCTGACCTGCCCTGCATAAACCTGGCCCCTGCTGACCTTGTGCTATCGTCCAACCCCCATAAGCAGCCCCACTGAACATTTCTCAGTTCCTTGGACAAGCCGTGGCTCTCACGTCTGTGCCTTTCACGTGCTCTTATCTCTGTGCAGGACACTCTCTCTTCCTCGCTCCCCTATCACCTGCTTAACTCCTATGTGGCCTTCAGCTATCATCACAGGCCTCCCCTAGTCCAGAAAGCCATGCAGGGGCATGCATAGCCCCCAGTGTATTTCTTGGCCCCACGAAGGCCAAGACCTTGTCTGGTTTACATTTATGTCTTTAACGCCCAGCCAGTGTCTGGCACATAGGAGGTGACCAAACTCTGTTGATTAAAAAGATAGCCAGAGAAGCTCTGCTCTTCCACCCTCGCAGAAATTTATTTAGTCAGTCCACAAATGCTCATGAGCATCTTCCCCGGGCTGGGTCCCTTGAGTTGGAAGAGGTGAATCAGAGAACATCCCTGCTCTTGAGGATGTAGAAAGGAATTACACTGTTTCAATGTGTTTAGACAACATGCCCAGTGCTTTCCAGAGTGTTCCTTTTTTGATGCTGATAACAACTCCTGGAGACTCAGAAAATCAGAGAGGTAAAGGAACTTTTCCAGGCTCACACAGTTAAGAAATGGCGGAGCTTGAATTTGAACTCAGGCCTGCTTGACTGTACACATTATTGGCTCTCTGCTCTGGCAAGGTTGAAATCCAGGGCGCTGGTGTGGGACTCTGGAGGTGAGGTGGGGAAGCAGGTAGAAGCCTGACTTTAGAGTGTCTCCAACATTAGACTGATGATTTGGGACTCGACCTTGTAGTGGAGGCCATGGTAGGTTTCCACAGTTGAGTGTGTGTGACCTGGGAGTGCTGGCAGCTCCTGAAGACTCAGAAAATCAGAGAGGTAAAGGAACTTTTCCAGGCTCACACAGTTAAGAAATGGCAGAGCTTGAATTTGAACTCAGGCCTGCTTGACTGTACACATTATTGGCTCTCTGCTCTGGCAAGGTTGAAATCCAGGGCGTTGGTGTGGGACTCTGGGCGTGAGGTGGGGAAGCAGGTAGAAGCCTGACTTTAGAGTGTCTCCAACATTAGACTGATGATTTGGGACTAGACCTTGTAGTGGAGGCCATGGTAGGTTTCCACAGTTGAGTGTGTGTGACCTGGGAGTGCTGGGCCAATTCAATTGAACTGCTTGAGATCAGTGGATTAAGTGGCTTTGCAGACAGCCATCCAAATGTACCAGCCTGTTGGCATCCACCTAGAGCCAACCAGGTGGTGAGAACTTGCGCTTCTGCTGCAGCCCAGTCTCCCTGGGCTGTATATGTCTCGCTCTTCATCCCGTAAGTGGAGAGATTTATGTTGTCACCTAAGCACAGCAGCCCAGTTTTATTTGGGACTGCTCTTGACATTCTTTTTCCCTCCTGGAGTGTTTACATGACTAACCTAGGGCAGATCCAAATTAGCCTGCAACAAACTGTGGTTGTGGGAAAATATTTGTTTCCTAAAAATAGAACTGAGTGCTAATCCCCCTTAACAGCTGCAACAGAATGAGCTCACCAAACAATCGGAGAAGAATACAAGGCACTCGGTCAGACACACCGTGCCAGGAGGCTTCCCCTGGGCTTGACTCAGCGGTGGGGAAATGGGCCAGGGGGAATTTAGCAAGAGGGGCACTGGCCCCAATTCTCCAGCAGTAACTAGCTGTGTGATCTTTCACTCGCCCCTCGCCCTTTCTGGTCTAGCCTTTGGTATGATGAAGGATTTGGAAGGAATGTGTGTTAAGATCACTTTGAGCTCCAATGGATGTTCTAGGGACCCTTTTTTAGTGAGTACTACAACTGCGGAATGGGCAGCAACATGTGGCAGAAATAATTTTGGAGCCAAGAGTCCAGAGGTTAACCTGAGTTTCTGGCTCAAGCAACCCACTCTCTGTGTGACATTGAGCAAATCACTGTCCCTTTCATCTTGGTTTTCTCGTCTATAAAGAGCAAATGAAACTTTGGATAGAAAAGCACTTTACAAAATAAACCAGAAGTATAAAAGATTATCTTTATAAATTTAAAGGAAGAAATGACTAAAAGCTGGTGCTGGTGCTGGTGCTGGTGCTGGTGGTGATGGATGTGTGGCTAGGGCTGGTCGTGTAAGCAACAGTGGTGGTGGTAGTGGTGTTGGCGTTGATGGTGATGGTGTTGGTGATGATGGTGGTGTTGATGTTGATAGTGGGTGGTGATGATAATGGCAATGGTGATGGTAGTGGTGGTGATGATGGTGGTGATGATGATAGTGGTGGTGGTGATGGTGGCAGTGATGATAGTAGTGGTGGTGGTGATAATGGTGGTGGTGGTGGTGGCAGTCGTGGGGATTGTGTTAGTGGCTGTGATGGTGTTGAAGGTGGTGGTGGTGATGGCGACAGTGACGGGGCTGTGATAGTGTCTGTGATGATGGTGATGATGATGGTGGTGATGGTGGTGACGATGGTGATGGTGGTGGTGGTGATGGTGATGATGGTGGTGATGATGGTGATGGTGGTGGTGATGGTGGTAATGGTGGTGGTGATGGTGATGATGATGGTGATGGTGGTGGTGGTGGTGATGATGATGGTGATGATGGTGTTGATGGTGATGATGATGGTGATGATGGTGGTGACGATGGTGATGGTGGTGGTGGTGATGGTGATGATGGTGATGATGATGGTGATGGTGGTGGTGATGATGGTGATGGTGGTGGTGATGGTGATAATGGTGGTGGTGGTGGTGATGATGATGGTGATGATGGTGGTGGTCATGGTGATGGTGATGGTGGTGATGGTAGCAGTGGTGGGGGTTGTGATAGTGGTTGTGATGGTGATGATGGTGGTGGTGGTGGTGGTGGCAGTTGTAGGTGTTATGATAGTGGCTGTGATGATGGTGATGGTGATGATGATGGTGGTGCTGGTGATGCTAATGGTGATGGTGGTGTTGAAGGTGGTGGTAGTGATGGCGGCAGTGATGGGGGTTGTGATAGTGACTGTGATGGTGGTGATGATGATGGTGATGAGGATGGTGATGATGGTGGTGATGGTGGTGATGATGATGATGGCAGTAGGGGTGGTAATGGTGGCAGCAGTGGCTGTGGTTGTGATAGTGGTCGTGGTGATGGTGATGTGTTTGTTGTTGTTGTGGGTAGCAGTGTTAACGTCAGTATTTTGCCTTCCCTCCCAATTCTCATATGCCAGGACTGGAAGGAGAGTCACTGGGGCCAGCTTCTGTGTGTGAGGGGNTGGTGATGGCGACAGTGACGGGGCTGTGATAGTGTCTGTGATGATGGTGATGATGATGGTGATGGTGGTGGTGGTGGTGATGATGATGGTGATGGTGGTGGTGATGGTGATGATGGTGGTGATGATGGTGGTGGTGATGGTGGTGGTGGTGGTGATGGTGGTGGTCATGGTGATGGTGATGGTGGTGATGGTAGCAGTGGTGGGGGTTGTGATAGTGGTTGTGATGGTGATGATGGTGGTGGTGGTGGTGGTGGCAGTCGTAGGTGTTACGATAGTGGCTGTGATGATGGTGATGGTGATGATGATGGTGGTGCTGGTGATGCTAATGGTGATGGTGGTGATGGTGGTAATGGTGGTGGTGATGGTGATGATGGTGTTGATGGTGATGATGATGGTGATGATGATGGTGGTGATGGTGGTGACGATGGTGATGGTGGTGGTGGTGATGGTGATGATGGTGTTGATGGTGATGATGATGGTGGTGATGGTGGTGGTGATGGTGGTGATGATGATGATGGCAGTAGGGGTGGTAATGGTGGCAGCAGTGGCTGTGGTTGTGATAGTGGTCGTGGTGATGGTGATGTGTTTGTTGTTGTTGTGGGTAGCAGTGTTAACGTCAGTATTTTGCCTTCCCTCCCAATTCTCATATGCCAGGACTGGAAGGAGAGTCACTGGGGCCAGCTTCTGTGTGTGAGGGGTGATGGAGGCAGTGAGGGGCCTGTATTTGAGTCTCTTTTGCATCATGGCTGCAGGACAAATACCTCCCACTCCCTACCCTGGAAACAGTCAAGTGTTTAAAAATAGAATTTTATGAGCCATCAGGGCCTTTCCAGAAATGCATCTATATGGCTGGGGCCCAGCACAAGTCTTCATTCCAGCCCCACACCCCACCCTACTGGATGCTCCAGCCCTTACTCAGGGTTTCCCACCATGGGGATGCTCTCAGTGGGAGACAGCACAGCAGAACAAGTGGTGCCCTGTCATGGGGCAGTCCCAAGCTCCCCTCTCCCTGCCCTTATGCCGAATGCCTAGGTCCTGACTCATTTCTTTGACAAGGGATCAGCCAGCCATTGCGATTACCTCAGTCCACGGCAAATTCTACCAACCACTGTGTCATGATCTCACTATTGCCCGACCAGGACCAGCCTGGGACAGGGTGCCCCAGAAACAGGATCCATGTCTCACTTCTAACCTGTCTGTGTGGCTTGCCCACAGACGGTGCCTTTATCTCACTGAGACTCAGTTTCTTTAGCTCTAAAGTGGGATAAATAATCCATTCCACCCAACACTGGTGAGAATTGAATGAGAATTTATACAGAGCATGGACACAGAGCCTGGCCTATGGTTAAGGCCATGAGGATTGTGAATATTTTATTACTGGAGAAGCAAGAGACCTGAGATAGCCTAGCGCTGTCCAATAGAAACAGAATAGAAGCCACGTATGCAATTTAAAATTTTGTAGTATTTAAAATGTGATTTTACATTTTAAAAGGGTTAAAAAAGGTGAAATTAATTTTAATAATGTATTTTATTTAGCCCAATATATCCAAAATATCATTTCAGTATGTAATCAATATAAAAAAATCATTGAGATATTTTGCATTCTCCTTTTTGTACTACGTCTTTGAAATCCAGTGTGTGTTTAACACTCACTGCACATCGCAATTTAGATGTAAATTTTCACTGGAAATACTTGATCTGTATTTAGATTTCATAAAACTTACAGTTGACAAAGTAGATTCATATACCCAAGCTGCTCCAAACATAAAGGTTTTCCAGTAACTGAATTGGGTGTCAGCTTTTAGATTTAATTTTTTTTTTTTTTTTGTCTTTTTGTCTTTTTCCGTGTCCGGCAACGGATCGCAACCCTCAGTGTCGCCCCCGTACCGGACCGGGGA